AAAAAAAACTCCACCTAAAAAGTAAAATGTTCTATTTATACTACACAGGAAAAACCGGACAAAAATACCCCTGAGGGTCTGGCGCGGACCGCGCACAAATGACGCGTGGCTACGTAGGGTTTTGGGTCTTCATATCTTGCTTCTGACACTGGGGACGCGGACCGCACAAATGTGACGTGCGGCCGCGTAGGGTGTTTTGGTCCAAATCCACCCTCTCTGAACTTTATCCACGCGGACCGCACTGATTAGGTGTGCGGCCGCGTGGGCTTTTACCTTGAATGACTGAGTCTCTGACATTCTTGGGTGCGGACCGCGTGGAAAGGAGTGCGGACCGCACATCTTGTCTTGGAAATTGCATGGTCTCTGAACTATCCTGCGCGGCCGCGTGGCAAAGCAGTGCGGACCGCGCAGGTTGACCTTGAAATTACCCAGCCTCTGAACTCTCTTGTGCGGCCGCGTGACACATCAGTGCGGATCGCACAGGTCATTTTGTTCCTCACTTCAGTTGTCTTCTGACACTTGGCAGATTTCACTCCTTTTTGAGCCAATCTTTGGTATTTGTCATCTTGTCGCTAAAACCTGCAATCAAGCGCAACTTGTAAGTATTTTGGGACTAATTTATGGCATTTAATGCACAAAGCTTAGGTAAGAATGGGTATAAAACATGTAGAAATCACAGTTATCAACTCCCCCAAACTTAAACCTTTGCTTGTCCTCAAGCAAATAAAATGAGACCTACCCCTCAATGGAAAACACCCAAGTAATTCCTGTTTATCCTAAAGTAACCTCAACAAGCATCAATTGGGACTAACAATTGCCTTCAATGTGAATGCATCATTAACACATTTAAACTTTGAAAACTTGTGGATCAAGTGTGACACAAGAGCATCAAGAGTTGACACATTTCATCAAGGAACCTTTCTCAATTTCTTTGGTCATTGTGGAACCCAAACTCACACATCCTCGACTTTCCCTAAGTGAACCTCACCTTTTTAGAGTATTTGCACACAAATCGAGGTGAATGGACTTCTCTCTCATCTCTCACAAAGAAAAGGCCCTAAGTCCGGCTCTAAGTACCATATGTAAGTATCCACTAATGTAGGCTTCCCTCAACTCAAGATCATATAGGGCTTTTGAGGAGTCATTGTGAAGGCTTTGGGTAATGGTAGGACACGGTTTTGTTCAAATGGGTTCAGTCTTCCCTTAAACACTTCTTTTGATTTATTTTGGCACACTTTCTTGACTCAATTGAGTAATTCACTTCTTTCAAGGGGTTAGAGAGACACAATATCACTCTTTCTTTTTGCAATTCACACCTTTCTCCTTTTTACCACTTTTCCACACCTTTTTCACTTTTTTGTTGTCCTTGGATTTCCTTTTTGGTTCTTATTCATTTTTTGTCTTTTTCTCTTTTTCTTTTGCTTTTGCGCCTTTTTTACCACATTCATGCCTTTCTTGTCTCTCCCCCCCAAACTTAGACATTTGCCATTTACTCAAGGGAAGATTTGGGTGTCAAGAGAGGGTCTCATTAAGAACAGGTATAGGCTTGTAGCTTGGTTCACGAAAGAAAAATGTTTAAGGCTCAAAAAGGGTGAACTAGGGATTATTTCATTGGTAGGTCATGGAAATTGTTCAAATTTTGCATTTTGGATCAAGGAGAGCATATAATCATGTCTCAAGTCAAGTTCCACCTATGATTTCTCCTCAACAAACATTCAGGGAAAGTTCTAGACCATCGGCTTGGTACTTGGGCTCACGATTCGAATTCTCACTACACACACTCAAGGATTGCCAAAGATGGAGTCGAGGGCCCACAACGAGCTTAGATATGATTCAAGCGCACAATGGCCCAAAATAACCACATGAAGATTATTTGGTCACCACAAGAGTCTTAAGGCCACAACTTTCACCATCCTAAACACAACATAATGTCTTTGACCATAGGATCAAAGACAAATGTGCTAGGCCCAAGTGAAGCTTTGCCTGAGGTACCCTTAACTACAAAAACTTGAAAATCAAAAAGAAAAATCAAAAACGGACTCAAACCCTTAAGAAGGTTGTCACGCCATCTATCATTGGGAAGCGCCACCTGGTTCGCACAGCACTCTACCATTGGAAAGAACCGTGGCATTAAGAAAACCAAGGGCTTATTGCAAACGTCA